ATTAAATAGTTACAGTGCAATCTTAAGTCCAATGTATTTATTACAAGATAATGAAATATAGTCTGGATTTTAATTCAAAACTCTTTTCACATATCTTTAAAAGCCCAATTTTAACGGTACTTTTCTGTTATCGGGACAGGATTCAGACATGTAATGTATGTATCCACGAGTGGTTTGGGTTTCATTTTAGTTTAGTATGGCAAAGTACACTAGGTCTATCTGCCTGTGGGAAGGGATGCCTTTGTGGAGGACTTTCTAAAGGAAACTGGCTGGTATACACTTTACAAATGGGGAAAACCACGAAAACGCCCATGAAGCCAAAGAATTTGCCTGGATTCGAATTCAGTGTTCAAAGATTTTACCACTCTGCCACTGGTGGGCCTATGCACATGTGTATAAGTGTGTGTGCATACACACGTAACATGAATACATACATCCCTCCATACAAAATCTGGTTCCGAAAATAGAATAGTACCTTTTAACCATATATCTTACAGTTTTGATTAATTTTATGTACTGTCATCAATAATACATCTTATTAGATACATAAATGCATCTTATTATCATTAATTTCTTACTAACAATTCAATTTCAATTGCCATGAGTTGATGCATGACTCATTATATATATATAAGTTGTTTCAATATAAAGATCACAATATAAGTTACATAGCATATTTACAATAATTATTTATTACTCATACATATAATGTATGAAATCAGGCAGTAAATTGTAAAAAAAATACTTTTAATGAAATTGGAAGGAAATGAAAATATACTATAATCTGCATTACATTAGGCTTTTTAAATGCACAAACTTCACAGTTAAAATACATACTAATGTAAGAAAATCAATATTAAATGCTTTTCCTCAAAAGAAAAAAAAAATTGCCTGTTCAAGACATATTTTATCAAGTCCAACCATCAGTGGAAACCCAGGTAATCAGTCTTTAATATGACAAAATGTAAAATTTGAAATACAACTTTAAGATATTTTTTAATCCATTCAGTTTTGGCTTATGTAAGTTTCACTGTATTTAACTAGATGTAAAGAACTATAAACACACATTCACACAATTCACTTAAAGGTATGTTTCCAGGAAATAAAAGTATACTTATTGGATTCATTTCAACGTTACACCTTAGAACACGCAATGATACCTCATTATTAGGCATTTTCGATAGTCTTGAAATAGCATAACTGGTAACATATCTTTCTAAATTCAGTTCTTGATAAATTATGTTCAACATCATTTAGCATTTGCAGTTTTATAACTAAATTAGATTTCAGTAGGTCTATTACACTAAACACTTACAGTTATTCATTATTATTTTCTTAACATTTCAACAAAACAATGAACTTCCTTTCTAAGAATGCATACTGAACAATGAAAATTCCAAATATTATATATGATTTACCAGAACTATAATATCAGTTAATAGTGATTTTTTTAAATTGAATTTGATTAATTCAAGCAATTCACTTGAAGGTATGTTTCCTGGAAATAAAAGTATACTTATTCAATTCAGCGTTACACCTTAGAACAGGTAATGATACCTCATTGTTAGGCATTTTCAATTCACTTGAAGGTATGTTTCCTGGAAATAAAAGTATACTTATTCAATTCAGCGTTACACCTTAGAACAGGTAATGATACCTCATTGTTAGGCATTTTCGATAGTCTTGAAATATCATTACTGGTAACATATCTTACTAAATTCAGTTCTTGCTAAATTTTGTTCAGCATCATTTAGCATTTGCAGTTTTATAGCTAAATTAGATTTCAGTAGGTCTATTACACTAAGCACTTACAGTTGTTCAGTGTTATTTTCTTTACATTTCAGAAAAACAATGAACTTCCTTTCTACGATTCCAAATATGATATATGCTTTACCAGAACCATAATTTGTCAGTTAATAGTGATTTAATCTTCATAGATAAGCATATCCAAAAGTCTTGAAATATCAGAGCTGGTAGCATATCTTAAATATATTCAGTTTTTATTAAATAACATGTTCATCATTTAACTTCAGTAGTTTCACAGCTAAATTACATCCCAATATGTTCATTAGAGTGGACACACTCTTTCATCTTTTATACTCTTTACGTTCTAATAATGAAATGAAGTTTATTTCTAAGAAAGCATATTGAATCCTGTAAAGCATATTGATTTCTTAATCAAAGCACAATTAATGTTGTAAATATTCAGATAGATATATATGAAATGTATTTCTTTTCTTCTTTTCTTAAGAAAATATTTCCCGGAAGACACCGAATTCGTAAACAAGCCGCGTGGGTTCAAATTATGGACAATTACCTCTACTCATAAGCGGAATCCCACAAAAGAACGCACTTATTAGGGATGTCGTAAAATAGTCGTCAAGCCTCAAGCGTAGGAATTCCTACCTGCAACCAAGGAAAAACTGTCCCAGGCCCCCAGGTGCCGTACACTTTGCTCGGGACATATATGTCCCCAGGAAAAGGTTAAATACATTTTTAATTCATACACATGTATATGCAGATGAAATAAGATATGCCAATAATTTAAGGAAAGAAAAGTTCTCCAAAGTATAATGAATGTGATCTTATTACTAAGTGCTGCAACTTTACTTCATGTGAAATATTTTCTGCATAGTTGCTCCTTAAAGGTAGTCTCGAAATAATTAAACCCATTAAATACATGTTCCCCCTCTTATTACCAATTAAATTTGTTTTTATAAATGTACAAGGGTTAACTGATAAAGGCAAAGTTCTTTTTAAATAGCAGGCTGGAATTTTAATTTAGATACATCATTATACATACATTAATAAAATAAATAAAATTCTAATTATGTTAGGGCAGTTTCCATTTTGCTGGTGTTTACTAAAGAAAATATCATAGATACTATGAAATTTATTTAATCCCTGTTTATGTTCATATATAGAAGTTAAGATCCTTCAAGACTGTTAATACATCGTTTATGATCATAAACAAAATTTGATCATTTAAGTTTAAACTTTCTGTTTATGATGATTTACGATTAGAAAAGATTATTTTGTAAGTATTCATCAAGAATATTTCTTCCAATTTATGTTTTCGAAGAAACGCCATTATTACTCAAAGTGAAAAAGAATTACTCCCCAAAACTGTTAAATCTGTATCGATTAAAAAAGAACAGTAATGCGTATTTAATAAGAACACAGGAATAAATTGTATTAAAACTCAAATCTATTTGTAAATTGTTCTTCTCTAAACTTATGCTTTGAACCTGAAATATTTTGAATGAAATAGTGCTTTTTTATTTATTTTAAGACTTGATCTATTTTAAATTTAACCTAAAATACCTAAAATAATTATTTTAGCTTTTCAAGAGTTTCTTTTACATTGCTGAATTTGATGAAGGTGTACAAACGGTGCCAAATTCTTGGTTTTGGGCTGATATGGATAAATGACATATGTAATATGAAAAAATGAATCAAACTAAACTGAACAAAATGATTGCATCACATCAAGCCCCAGATTATTGAGAACTTTGGCAATTTCACCGGGTTCTCTAAATTTTTGCATCGACAAGTATGATATTTTCTATAATTATGTGTTCTTGTTGCTCATTTTTCTCACTGTATAATTTAGAACAGCGGTTTTCAACTCTCAGAACTTCACGGACCACTACATGTATAATTTTATATTTGGATGACCACAGATATGAATTAAAAACAAAGGTAAATACATTTATACAGTAATAATCAGCAAACTACACATATTTCGTTCACATTGAAAAATTATATTAAAAGTACAAAAATCTTACTTTCTTGTACAGAAAGGTTCACATTTCCATATCACTGAAAAGGAACTTCACGAAAAGCAAGAACTAACCCGCAAACGCAGAGCAATATCAATAAACTGACAGTGTAATATTGCCAATTTTTAATTATTGTAAACATAATAATTATCGCTAACTCAGTAATGGCGCCATCGATCAACTGTTAGAAAAACAAAAATGGAAACTTCCAGTGATGCAATTATAAACAAGAATGCAGATGGTTCTCAAAAAAATCTTCAAGGTGCCTATTGACATGGATTAAAACTGTGTTATTAACGACCACAATAGCATATGTTTGTAATTCAAAAGGAAAGAGAATTGCAGTTAGCGCTGTTATTGATAACAGCAGCATATCCATAGATGGCAACTCTCACTTTCAAATGTCGCTAGATCAGTGGTTCTCCTTTTGACTAATGCGTACCATCTAAACAAATATTGAAAACCTTTAGTACCACTATTACCACCACTCCTGAACAAAGCTCAGATCGCATAAATTTACGAGTGTTGGAGAAAAAACTCGATCAGGATGTTGGCTTTTTAATTTTTGAATTTAATAGTTAAAAATACTTTGTGTACCACCTATTTCTCTCTTGCGTACCACTGGTTGAAAACCCCTGCAAAAGTAGCTAAAAAGTCGATAAATTCAGAAGGAATTTCGCTAAAGGTAGTAGCTAAAATTTTAAAAAAATGTGTAACCCATATTCCATAATAAGTTTTGTTACTCATTACTTTTTAAACTGAATCTTCATAAAAATATAATGTCCCAATTTTTCTGCAGACCATCAAAAAGTTTTCATGAACCATAGATTTAGAAAGCTGATTAAAAAGCGAAAAATACTGTTATGAATGACATCAGTACCAAAATACTAAAAAAATATAGTAATGCATTTCCTTTCTAAGTAAGTTTATCCATAAATTATTAGTACAGGTGGTGAAGTTATGAAATAATTTTCCTAAATGACAGAATTAGATACCCTGTTTGTTATGCATTTATGTATATTAAAGAGAATTTTTATTTTTAGATCAACAAATTAAAATATATTGGTGGTAGAGGAGACTGCCAAATCATAATGAATATTTTGAAGAAGGTGATGTCGGACGCACTAGCTGAAGAGAACACTTGGGTGAAGAGCTGCCAAAACAAAGAAAGTTGTTTAAATACCTGAAGTTATAGCAGTTTATTTTACGTAAGTCAACATTTATAAATAAATTCAGAAGGAATTTCACTAAAAGTAAAAGCTAAAATAAAAAAAAAAAAAAAAAAAGTATAACCCATATTCCATAATAACTTGTTACTCGTTATTTTTTAAACTGAATCTTCATAAAAATATAATGTCCCAATTTTTCTGCAGACCATCAAAAAGTTTTCATGAACCACAGATTTAGAAAGCTGATTAAAAAAGCGGAAAATACTGTTATGAATGACAGTACCAAAATATTAAAAAAAATATAGTAATGCATTTCCTTTCTAAGTACATTTATCCATAAATTATTAGTATAGGTTTGTAGTTTGGTGTTTGAATCTTAACATTATTTAATTACAAGTCTTGCATGAAATCTGTTTAGTTACCTTAATTTTGCAGTAAAAAAATAATGAAATATTATAATAATACATTTCAAAAATATGTAAATAAAAATTCTGATTGATTTATTTATTAAATAAATTGTAGTAAAATATCTGAAATTCTCAGAATTTTGTGTAGTAGTCTGCTTGCTGGGCGCATATTCCAGAGGTCCGTGGTTCGATTCCCGGCGAAAGTGTTGCTTATTTTTCATCTCTTCTGCTATCAAAAAATCCTAATGTCTGTACAGTGGCGCCCGAACTAAAAGAATGTTGGATGATGATTCTCCACACCCAGGATTTGACGATTGTGTCACCCTTTAAAATGTATTGCTGTTAATAAAGGGGGGTATATAAGACGCATTTCTCCCACCTTCTTAGCATGCCTTCGTAGTGTAGTGTTCTGCACGCTGGGCGCGTATTTTAGAGGTCCGATTCCCACGAAGGCGTTGCCCATTTTTCATCTTGTCTGCTTCCCAAAATACCTTATGTCTCTACGGTGGTGCTTGAACTAAAAGTGTGGTGTATGATGATTCTCCACACCCAGGATTTGGCGATTAGGTCCGCTAAAAGAACCCCAGTCACTCTTTATAAGGGGAAGTATATAAGTCATTTCTCCCACCTTCTTGCCATGCCTTCGTGGTGTGGTGGTCTGCACCCTGAGCACATATTCCAAAGGTCTGTGTTTCGATTCCCAGCGAAGGCGTTTGCTCATTTTTCATCTTTCCTGCTTCCAAAATATACCTAATGTCTCTACAATTTAATTAATACATTTTGCTTTATCTTAAATTATTGTTTATTACTGATTGTGGAAATTTAAAGTTCAATGAAAATATAATTTTTTTTCCCAGTTATTTACAAAAAAGGCATAGAAAAGTTAAATTGGGAGTTTGGACATTGGAGCTTTGGAGTTTCCAGACATCGAAAGTGTAGAATCTGATGCTGAAACAAAGAAAACAACGCCGGCAACTTCAATTCTCCAATTCTTCAGATGAAGACACTGTAGTAAAGAAGCCAGCGAAGCTGCACTTGCCATTGCTACAAGAGTGCACACTGGCAAAATATTTTCAACCAGAAATTTCTGCATCTGTTACAACTAGTCTTCACTGCAGCTCTGAGAACTATAATACTCGGAAAGCAGACTTATCAGAAAGATTTAATAAAGGTATTATTACCTTTTATGAATTTGCCGACAGTCAATTTTTTAAAAGTGTTCTGTTTTTAGAATAATTATGTAATACCTTGACATTTCCTCTTTTGCAGAATTTCAGCATCTAATCTGAAAAAAAAATTAAATTCTATATCAAGCAGATTAAAAATATTGGAAGAAAAGATAGACTTGCTGAAAACTCCTCACTATGCAATTGAAGCTCAACCAAAAAATTGAGAATTTAAATATATTCTCATTAAAAACCGAATTGGAACTTCAAGTTTTAGAGCAAATGTTTCTCGATGACAAAGCTCTCGTGGTATTGCAGAATACAGTCAAAAGTCGTTAATCCGGACTCGTCGGGACTTCGGCGATTCCGGATTATCGATTTTTCCGGATTATAGATCATCAGTTTAAATCTCGTAAGATGGCATGCAGAAATTCTAAAATTAAAAATATGAAACCGTAATTTATGAAATAAAGAACAATTATGATCTAAAGGGTATCAAAATTTACAAAAAAAAAAAGCTTAATATTTATTTGTTTACTTTATTAAACATTTCTTTCAATGTAAGTTGTTTAAGTTGCTTCATTTTATGTGATACTAATACTTTCTCTTTAATTCTATAAACAGACATAATTTCTTTTCAGTTAAAGAGTTCTGCTGTTCAAGTCCCGTTAATTGCTGTGCCGAGAATACCGACTAACTGGTCAATGGAAATTTTTTCGTTTTCACTAACCTCTGTCACTCGTCACATCATTCTTTTCATTCTTCATATCCATTTTTTTCATTTTTCATTTTTTTTGACAGATCAACTTTTTTTGTTGCCGAGCAGCGTGAAATTGATAAACAGATTTCGAATTTCAAAACATACTTTCGTTTTGTAGATCCTTTGGAAGTTCCAAATAGCATCGGAAATTCTATTTGACATAATCGAAAGTTCAAGTTTACTTTTATAAAATTGCTCTTACAGTCTGCAAAAAATAATAAGCGGGATCCTATTCGAAGATTAAGGAACAACGCAATCATTAACATTAACTGAAATAGATAATTAGATAATTTTAGCCTACACCGTCCGTTATACATTAAAACGCGCAGGCGAAAACGTATTCTGCGCTTGCTCACACGCATATGCGCAGTAGTCAAGTTCTTACGCGCTCGCGTAAAACGCCTGTGCGCATGTGCAGAAAGTTTTTAGTTATGAGGTCCGGATTATAGATCATTCCGAATTATGGGTGTCCGAATTAACGACTTTTGACTGTAATAATTTTTTACATTAATTTTAGTAACTTCTTTATTTTTTTACCTTTTTCCCACATTTTCATCTTATAAAATAAGTTCTGTTACATTTTTATTTCTGTTTATTTTTCAGTATACTGCGTAAAATGTAGTAAAATATGAATATCGAATTTAAAGCAGCAAAAGCACTATGATTTTATACATAAGGCTCCATTACATTTACATTTTATTTTGAGGAAAGGTAGATTTCTTCAAAAGTTATGAAATAATTTCCATACCTTTTGAAGAAAATGGTGAAGTTACGAAATAATTTTCCTAAATGACAGAATAAGATACCCTGTTTGTTATGCATTTATATATTAAAAAGAATTTTTATTTTTAGATCAACAAATTAAAATATATTGGTGGTAGAAGAGACTCCCAAATCATAATGAATATTTTGAAGAAGGTGATGTTGGACACACTAGCTGAAGAGAACACTTGGGCAGGTGCCAAAACAAAGGCATTTAAATGCTTGAAGTTATAGCAGGTTATTGTACGCAAGTCAACATTTATAAATATATTTTTACGTACATCATCATTTAGAAAATAATCTTGATCATTTATGTTTGGTTAATTTCATAAACTGAAATCTGCTAAATTTAAATACATGAGCAGGACTTATATTAAGCCATACCTTACTTAATTAATACCAAACTTAATTATTGAAAGAATCGGGTAAAATAAAACCAGTACTTTGGTGAACAATCATGTTAAAAGAAACTTTTTTTCACTAGTGTGAAGTGCTACTAAATACATATCTGACTATCCCAAAAGAAGTAACGCAGGTAGACATTAGCATCTGGGAAGATATTCCATACTGAAATACATGAAGGAAGAGGAATATATTTAGGGTTTGAACGTATTAAGTCAAGAAAACTTTAAATGAATTAGAAGACAAAATAAAGTAGCAGTTTTATCTGATTGCAAATATTCTAAATGTTATTTAAAGTGTTTACTTTTTTTTTATCCTCAAAATGATGTTTAATCCTCATTTGTTCTGTTATTTAATTTTTATGATGCATTGTTACTTAGTTTATTATCTATCCATTTGTCACTAATTGAGTTTAATTAAATTAAGCTTTGTTCTTTTATATTATGTTTCACTGTCAAACTGGGATAGTGATTAGTGACTCTGACTGTCATACCAAAGCTCCCGAATTCGAATCCCAAAGAAGGCTTGTGTGTTTGTAAATGTATAGATCTGTGCATCATGGGGGCACCCAAAATATGCTGCAAGCTGAAAGTTCCCTCGAGAAGCTGATGGTAGGAGAAGAGAACTGGAAGACCCTTGGACCCATCCTACAGGGTGCTCTCCTCCAAAACTGGGGTGGAACTGAGCTAAAGTGGTACTGTCACCTATATGGTTCTCAAGGCTCTCACCTATGCAATTTTGTACTCAAATGCTAGCTGGGCTAGCTTGTGCTGACTATGCCTAACAAGTGAAATTAGTAACAGCAATACATTTTAATTATTCATTGCTTATTCTTTTTTATATTATTCCTTATTATTTATTACGTATTCATTTCTGTTCGCCATTCCATGGGAGCTTCATAAGGCTGTTGCACACGTAATTTTAGAAACTAAGCTGTGTGCATAGATGATAGTCGTAATACAGTAAAGATTTGGGACTATACTTAATTGCAGCATTCAATTAAAACTTAAATTTACCTGCAAAAATTATATATTTACGTTTGCTACATTAAATTGTAAACGCCAGTTTGTAAACTAGTACCTTCAATGAAGATTTGATTAAAAAACTTTTTTCAATTTTCCAGTTTTAGAATTAATTGTTTCATAATAATTGTGTTATATTTTAATTGCTTTTGCAATTATTAACACAATTTAAGATGATCGCGATAAAATATATTTAGAAAATGGTGATAAGATTCATTGCAAAAATTTTATGCTTTTTATCATTGACTTTCTGTTTAAAAATGCAGTAATTATAATTAAAAATTCACAAGTAAATTTTCCATTTAACGTATCTTTTAGAGATAGTGCGAATTCATCTCCCTGGAGTAACTGAAGAGAAAGTTGCTACTATAACAGCTAACTGGTTGAAGTATGCAAAGCAAGGTTAAAGAAAGAAATGAAACGTAAATATAAAAATACTGCATGCTAGAATTTCCGTATGTATACGAATGTTATATACCTTTTTGTATAGAAGCTGTCTTGAAATCTTAGAATCTAAAATCTTAAGAAAAATTTATATTTGTTTTTACTAAATTATAAGTATTATAAATTCTTATGTTTGAAACGATCTGAGTTTCCTCTGACAGTAAAGTAAATAATCATAGAAACATTTAATACATTTTTAAAAATTTGAAGTTCTCTATCAATTTTAAACTATTTTAAAATTTAATAAATAGTTTTTAAAACTCTTTCAACAGTCACTACTCATCTCAATGCATATAATAGCATTAGAGTTTTTTAATAATAATACATTTTTTTTTTAAATTTCAGGAAGGTGAAAGAGGCATTGTAAACTTATATTATTTTTTAATAATAATACATATTTTTTTTTAATTTCAGGAAGGTGAAAGAGGCATTGTAAACTTATATTATGAAAATATGAATCATATTATAAAAATTCCATGAAGGCCATTTGAAAAACATATTGTATATATTTATGTAATTGTTGATATAGATAAAATGTGTTATTAACAGTATTAACAGCATTAAGAAAATGCTTCATAAAATATATTAAAAGGATCTTTAAAATTTTTACACATGAAATGAATTTAAGTTTGTTATGGAATTGATATTTTTACATCTGTACGAGGTGTGACCCCCCCAAAAAGAGAGAGAGACTGTGTAACTTCAAAAGAAGAGTGGAGTTGGCAACAACTGCTTTGGTGACGTAATTCCACACCTCTTCTATCCATGTGGCCACTTTTGACATAACCGATCACACCAATTAGGAGTACTGCGTCATTGAGTGAACATGTGCAACTGCATTCTGCAAGAAAAAATGTCTAATGTAAAAATCCAATAGCGAATCAACATCAAGTTTCTTGTGAAACTTAAGAAATCAGCCACGGAAATATTTCAAATGTTAACTGAGGTTTATAGAGATGAAACTTTGTCTTGTGCACATGTGTTTGAATGGCATAAGCGATTTTCAGAGAGAAGGGACAAAGCACACATGTCAAAATCAAAATTTAAGACAATGTTAATTGCCTTCCTTGACATTAATGGAATTGTAATGATTGAGTAGGTTCCAAGTGATCAGACTGTTAATTAACACTACTACACTTAAGTACTAAAAAGAATTCGTGAAAAAAGCCACATTTGTGAAATGATGGATCTCTGTTGCACCAGGACAATGCACCCACTCACATGGCCCTATCTGTCAAGCAGTTTTTAATCAGCAAAAACATTACTGTGATGGGGCATTCTGCTTATTCACCTGATTTGGCTCCATGCGACTTTTTTTTTTATTTCCTAAAACTAAATCTTGCTTAAAGGGAAGCCATTTTACCTCAATTGAAGAGGTTCATGCAAAAAGTGGAGAATCTCCTGAAAGGCATTCCAAAAACCTTGTTCCAGAACTGTTACCAGCAATGGCAGCACTGAATGCAGAAATGTGTGAATGAAGGGGACTACTTTGAAGGTGATAATGTCACAGAGAACTGATTCTGTAAGTACAATGATTTACTGGACCAATCTTGTATTTTTTGTGTCACACCTCATACATTTATTAATTAAAACTTTCTTACATTTATTGCAAAAAGGACTAATTTTAGATGTTTAATTTCATTTACATAGCAGTGTTCACTATAAGTATTCGTTGTACTACTTAATATTCAAATGAAGAAATATAAATTTTATTAGCACAAAAACTTCTATCAATATATGTTTTAAATGCAGAAAAACATAAATACACAAAAAACAAATTATTTCAACAATATGATGATCAGCACAGCATTTTGATAGTAGGATGTAATTATTCCCTTAACTGCTCAAAAATCCTTTGTTGAGACATACCACATATCAATATGAAAGTCCCATGCACAATTCAGGCTGTCAATACTATGAGTAGATATTTTCTAATTACAGTACACTCCCGATTATCCGCGGAATTGGGTGGCGCGGCCACCACGAATAACAGAAAATGCGGATAATCTGAAAAAAGCTAAAAATGGGTATAGCAAATAAGAAAACAGTCATTCAAATTTTGAAAAATCGTTTTATGTACAATAAAATGTAAAATAAACAGCAGGAAATGTTTAACTAATGCTTAATATTTTAGCTTATTACGCTTAATATATTCTCCCCATGAAGTGCAATTTCTCGAATTCCATGTCGCTGCTTAAAACGAGTCAACCAGCCAGAAGACGCATCAAAATTTCCTTTCATGCCTAACAACTCAAAAAAGGTTTTTGCCTTCGCCGCAATGATAGGACCATTTACAGGAGTACCCTCTTTTCGAACTTGAGCTAACCACTCTGTCAAGCTCATCAAAGGTAGAACCCTTCATAGTTTTTCACGTTTTCATTGCAGAAGCACTGTCCGACATTGATGCAAAGTTCACCAGTTTGTCTTTTTGCTTTAGAATGTCAGGCACTTTGTTTCCGCGATTCCGTAATCCAATTCCATCTGCTGCCTTGTAGCACTATTTGCTACTTTGGAAATTAATTCTAGCTTTTGCGCAATCGTCAACATAACCTTCTTTCGTTTTCCTGACATTTTAAATCGGTATCGAAAAACACAAAACCAAAAAGTACAAGCACTGAACACAACAAAAGATAAGAAATTAACTCTGACCAGTTCGCAAACACTATCAGGCTTAAACTAACAATTGCGAGTGGGAAGAAGTGGACGTGTCAGTAAGATTAAGACGAGAGAGCGATGGAGCAGGCACTGCAAGGGTGAGTAAGAAATCACTTACTCATTAGAAGGGAAGGTTTTGAGAAGGCCTACGATATTTTTGCCATAAATAAGCACAATGTTAGCAAATTTAACCTCTCAGTTTTGTGAACATTTTTATTTTCTTTGCTTTACGCTTGGAAAAAAAAAAAAAAAAAACTTTGTGCGGCAGGCGCGGATAATCGGGAGTCTACTGTAGTTTGAAAAAGCATATAAGTTTTATAAAACATATATGTATAATATATTTTAAAGATTTTTCAGCTATTTCATTTAGTTTGCCTTAGGAACTACGAATAGTAGTTAAACAATGTTTAAATAGTATTTAAACATTGCTATGACGGCAGTAAGTAATAAAATATATATTCTCAGAAGTGATTACTGAAGATTTTCTATAACTGAGTCTTAGTACCAATAATTGTTGTATGAACTAGAATTATTTATTCATGCAAATCTGTTATGCTTTTACATTATAAACTGTGTAAAATTATACTGATTTTAAACTTTAACTGATAGGAGAGCAGTAAAATTTGTTTATTAAATGAAAAAGTATTTAAACTAAGTGATTCAAATTAATAAACTAAAGTAATAAAATGAATTGATTTTTTTATTTAATATAATTATTAAAATATATTGATGATATGCAGTGTAAAAAAAAAAAATTTAAACTTGTAAGTTAAATATAGCATATATTTGTAATTTTTCAATGAAGAAGCAACGGTGAAAGCAAATGCATGTTTAATATTACTAAATATAAATTTTGTGATTTATTTTCCATGCCCATACTTTCGATCCACTCATTTATCGTACCCACAGCTATTCGTTCTTTATTCCAGATTAAGCCTCATATCGCTAATTTGAAATCTTAAGATTTTATTGAAAGATTGTGTTGATTTACAGAAGGTTTTTATTCAAAATGTAACATTTATTTATATAAGAAAATATTCAAATAGGTAAATATCCTGTCTTTATGCAGTATCAAACAGTTTTTCTTTCATGTAATTGTCAAATCTAATAATTCATTTTCTGGAAGGAAAAACTATTACAGAAGAGAGAAACGGAGAAGAAAAAATTGTACAAAGCCAAAAAATTAAAAATATAGCAAATCAAATAGAATTTTTGAAATATTTCTATTTGGAAAGGGGGGGGTTAAATAAGCTGCTATAAGAACTCAGAACAGACTTTTAATACAGTTTTGAAGTTTTGGAAAAGCATAAGTATTTTTAAATATTAAATTCTAAAGAAAGCAAACTTATGTTGCATCTGGGCAGGTGAAATACTCTATGTGAAATTCTGTGTGTCTTTCTATGTGAAATGCTTAGAAAATGACCATAGATCGCTTTTGGATCATGTATAATATGTTCTGCATTTGAAGGTATATGCTGTTTTACATAAAAATGTAAATAAATCATAAATGCATCACAATTATATAACTTCAATACAATCAGATATAATAGCACACATTGAGAAAATTTCATATGATTATGTTGAATATATTCAATAATACAAAAGTTTTGAATATTCTGAAAAGATTTTAATAACTTGAAGAATAGAACTTCTTACTGGATAAATAAAACATTTGTAAACGCAACGTATTAATTTTATTTAAAATGTATTTTCCCGATTGGCAACAACAGTTTTTTTCAGAACAATAATATTTTGAACTGTAAGTTTTTTGAGCAGTAATGTTGACAGCAATGTTTCTGAATAAAGCAAGTATTTAACAATTAATGTGTTGACAGAATGTGTTTTTAATAAAGGAACTAATTAATTGCTAACATTTCAGAAGTGGGATAAACTAGAATTATTATCTAGATTTAACAACGTATTGCCTTAATGTACGCTAAGCCTAAACTGAATGCGGAAGCTCGCCAACACTGAAAGTAGAAAGGCGTGAGAATTTATAAACTGTTTATGTTATGTCTAAGTATTAAACGGAAAGAACTTAAGTATAATTATTGTATTATTATTTGAAAATTTAAGTCTAAGAAGGCTTATTTGGCAAGAGACAAAAAATGTGATTTAAAAGAACTTGCTTTGGAACTTGATGTAGATGTCCCTTCTGATATTAAAATTGTAGGCTTAAGAGATATGATTTTGAATAGTAAGAATTATAACGAAGACTTTACTAAACAAATGCTAGATAGGATTATAAATGATCGTTTAGACAGGGAAAAGTTAGAAATTTTAGAAAAAGAAAAAAGATAAGCAAAGAGCATTTGAAATGGAAATTATAGAAAAAGATAAGCAAAGAGCATTTGAAATGGAAGAAAAAGATAAGCAAAGAACTTTTGAACTTGAAAAATTGAAAATAGAAGCGGAAATCAGAAGTAGTAATGTAAATGATTCTGTTCCTTCTAATGTTAGTAAAAGTAATATTTGTGATATGAGTAAATTAATGCATAAGTATGATTTGAATGAAGGTGATATAAGTTTTTATCCAGTTTTATTTGAGAGACAGGCACGACGTATTGGGTTAGAAGAACAAAACTGGGTTTCTCAGCTGTTGGGTCTATTGCTTTATGAAACAACTCAATTAATTGCCCAAGAATCAGAAGAGAAAGCTAACAACTATAAGCACGTTAAGCAACTGCTATTGAGAAAATTTAAGTTAAGCCCTGAACAGTTTCGGCAAAAGTTCGTTGATCATATTAAAACTTTGCGTAATACGTGGAAGGACTTCACGTTTGAATTAAAAAATTATTTGAAGAGTGGCTTGCTGGATTAAATGTAACAGATTTTGACTCTTTAAAACAACTTATTATTACTGATCAATTAAAGAACAGGGTCCCCGCTGCTATCCGAGACCATTTCATTGATGATTGGTCTAAATTCATTAATCCTGAAGAGTTAGCTGAAAAACTAGATGAATATGAAAATATTCGGGCAGGGATAAAAGTACTTCAAGTAGAAAATAAAACTTTTACGCATAATTCTAAGCCCAAATCTGGTTCTAAATTTTATGAAGGATCCTATAATCAGTATTCAAGACAAAGAAATGTTAATGATTCCATGCAGACAGAGGGTAATTTCAAAGTGGGTTTTAAAAACAGTTTTGATAATAAATACAATCTGAGAGATAAGTTTTATAAAACAGACGAAAGGAAAAGGGAATATAATTCTAGCATCCGCAATGAAAAGGGTGAGCCGAAATGCTTCAATTGTAATGATTATGGACATACAGCGACGGATTGTCCTCAACCTAAAAAAGAAATTATTTGCAGGAAATGTAATGAAAAGGGTCATACTTTAAAAAAGTGTACGTCTAAGAATCCAGACTTGACAAATGTTAAAAATAATTTATCCGTGGACCAGAATTCAGGTGTTTCACCAGCTGTATATTTAAAGTATGCTCGCATCAATAATGGAGAAGAAATTACTGCAATCATAGATACGGGTTCTAGTTCGTGTTTATTGAAACAGTCTGCGGCTAAGAGACTGAATCTTATTATAAAACTTGATGTGAAGGAATTGTTTGGCTTTGGGAAGCAGAATAAACCAGCCACTAGAACATAGGGAAAAGTAACTGTTAACTTAGAGATTGATAATGTGGAAGGAAAGGACATTACAGTTCTCATTGTAGGAGATAAAACGCAACCATGCGACTCATTAGTTGGTCGAACATGGATTGATTTACCACATATTGCATACGCCAAGATAGGAAATACCTTGCACATACGCTATGCTAATGATTGCCCATTTTCACAGTTGCAAAATGATAGCAACACTCCGCGAATTAAACTGAAGGCTTCGCAAGAAACTCAAATCGAAAGTAATACGGTTAATTTCGTGAAAGTTAAAACTGATGAAATAAATAACGGTTATGTTTTAATAAGTGGATCGGAAGATGAGTTAGGCTCATTATTGGAAGTAATACAGGGAGAAACAGTGATACCAGTCACTAACTACAGTGATCGAAAACTAATTTTGAAAGAGAATCAATGTATCGGTCTAGCGGAAGTAGCAGAATTAGTTGAACCAAGTTCAGATCAGAAAACTGAAAATTCAAGTCAAAAGGAAATACTGATAATAAATGAAATTAAGAAGTTTTATGCTATTTGGACGACATATTAATTCCGGCTAAATCTTGGGAAGAAATGATGGAAAAATTTAGGAAAGTGTTCGATAGATTGAGAGAAGCAATGCTGACATTGAAACTGACAAAATGCGAATTTGGAAAAGATGAAGTTGAGTATTTGGGATTTCTAATAAAATCAAATGGTATGCAACCTGGACTAAGAAAAGTACGAGCCATATTAAACTTTCCTAAACCAACCAACGAATATGAAGTTAAACAATTTTTAGGCCTTACAAGTTTCTTTAGAAGGTTTGAACCAAAATACGCAGAGAAAGCTGAGCCGCTAACGAGACTGACAAGGAAGGATGAAACATTTCGTTGGAACGAAGATCAGCAATAAGCATTCAGTACTTTAAAGGATCATTTAACTAATGAACCAATACTAGCATTATATAATCCCGAAGCAGAGACTGAAGTGCACACAGATGCGGGCAACAAAGGACTGGCAGGAATGCTGTTAGG